CTTTCTGGGGGTGGAGAGAGAGAGAGAGAGCAAAAGAGGGGTGATGTATGGGTAGTGGATTCTCTTATAGTTACTCCACACCTGGTCTGGTCGCCTCCAGGCTCCAGCTGTTTTATTTTTCTTTTCTTTTTCCTTTTTTTAATCTATAATTTGTTAAATTGGTTTGCTAATTATTGGGGAAAATGGATTTTATTTTTGTTAAGTAATAAATTGTAACCTTTTTTTAGGCTTTTATGGGGGAGAGGGAAACGGGGAGGGGATTGTGGTTGCACTGTGGGAAAAGGCCAACTTGGAAATGAAACTGTGTGCGAGTCCTGATATGTTGACAGCTAGTTTACTGATTGGCTCCAGTTGGGGTGCGAGGCTCTCTCTCTAGTGTGGGATCTGCTAGCCTACATCCATGTTCACAGTAAGTAGTACTATGATAATCATATTTGAATGTTCCGAGTGCCATGATTATCTTCTACTTCAAAATTCAAAATTGAAATCAAGATTTTCACCCTTTCTAATTCTCCTAAACGATTTTTTTTAAAAAAAAAATTGTATTTACTTCTTATTATCGGGTTACTTAAACATTCCTAAATTTACATGCAAAGGACTTTGTATTGCTTTAAGTCACTCTAAGTTGAATTTTTTTGTGAATTGAAGCTTCATATACTATTTTTAGATAATTAAAAAATTTAATGGATTGTTGTGTTTCTTAAAAATAAGACTCATTATCTTCTTCTTCTTTTTTAATATGAAAAAGTGTGAATTGATTTTTTTTTTAATTATCCTCATTTAATTAATAATTTCAATTCTTAATGTTTGCATTAACCAAAATCATTTTCTTGTATTTTGAAGGCTTCACCGTTCTCTGTATTTTGCTTTATATATAGATAGATTATGATATGTGTAAAAGTATTTTCATAAGATGACCAAAAATATATATTTTTTACATAAGTATTCATGCGCAAACATATATCTTTTTTTTCTTTCACATACGATAGAATATTTACAAGATACTTTTTTATAATGAGTTCATACATTTATACACCACAATAAGACTAACCACAACTAATTAGGTATTTAAACTCATCACATATATATTGTCTTTGTGTCGAACTAGGTAAGAACTTTATGTTGCCATTAGACCCCTTCATATATATATATATATATATGTATTAACCCTTTGTGGTTATTGTGTTTGTATTGTTCCTTATAGTTAACGATCTTTACACCTGAATTATAAATGCAATATTTCAACTTTAGCCCCAAAAAAAAATTGGAGATAAATACAACTATAACAAAGACTAGTTATTGGCGCAAAAAACAAAACTTCATTTTATAAAATATCCATCCTAAGGTACTAAAGAACCACTAACGTGCACTGAATTATGTTCACTCAAAATAAAATTGCTTTAAATTCCTCAACAATTGTAGAAGGAATAATCTTTTGACGCTTTTAGTGGCTTCATCCCTCTCACAAAGTCACAATTCACATATGGAAACAAGTTTTCTTAAACGCGTATGGGAGAACCTTGAATTATGTAGGCCTTAATCCCAATTAGGAAATAATTAAAGAAATAAAACGAGCTTCCCCAACTCCCACTCCACCTCAAAACCAATCGGAGTGTTGGCCGCAATTCTGGTAACCCACCCACGGGTGACGCAATCATTTGCACTTTTCTCTTACTTAACCAAAAAAGAATTCGCCAATTGAGAAAACTCAGTTCAAATGATAGACCACGCTCCTCCATATTACACGCGCGAAAACGCGTACTACAATTGGGGCTCAGCCGTCGAAACCACGTATTACTGGTAGGTGTAGTTCAGACACGTGAGGGTTCACTTGACCAAAGGCAGCCACGAGACTCCCTGCAGTAAAGTGACGACGTTTTGCAACGGCCAGGGCAGTGGTTTTACTTTTATGTTAGAATAGAATCTGGTGCTTCTGGGTGTATTTAGCTTTTTGCTTGCAGTTTATGCCTCTGCGTTCAGCAAAAGCATACAATATTTTATTTTATTTTCATTTTTGTGTTTTATTTGGAATGTCATTTCGTGGTTAAGGAGCCTAAGACAGTAAATTTCTTCAAATTCATACAGTATTATAATTTGCTAATCACAATGGTTAATTCTAATTTGATCCAGCTTGGGTTCAGAGAACAAATCTTGTCGTTTGGGTACGAGTCCTGACTATTTTTTGGTTGGTTGTGACTCTTTTTTCTTTATTGTATTTTCTTTCGTTTTCGGTTTTCTAAGGCAAGGTTTAAACAAGGGCACATTTGTTGCATCACCAAAATCCAGTTTTGTTCAATTGTATTCACAGTGTGTTTCAATTAAATGTTCAATTGTACGTTCTATTACTTCTTTTTTTTATAGAATAAATATTTCATTAAAAAAAAACCCGTGAAGAGAGTACATATGCAAAAAGAGAAGGGAGCAACCATGTAGGTGCTTCCTTAATCCAAAAAACAAAAATTATTACAACTGATTGCAAATTGAGCACATTTTATATTTAAATGTTATGGTATGTAGAGACAACATATATATTTTTTACTTTAAAATACCATATTAATACATCTACACGTGTTCTTGTATAAGTGAATTTGTAACGTCACATTATCACGATCACCACGACAAAGTTGTGGCTTAGGATCGAACCTTTAAATGAAAGTATAAATAGTATCAAACTTCATTATCTTCCATGAAAAAATAATAAAACCAACAATGATTGATAACAAAAAGAAATTCTTAAAGAAATTTTTGTTCGTGACTGTAATACTGGCACGTGCCATTACAAATTCAAACATTATGAATATCTACACATGCTTCAAGACAAACAAATTTGTAACATCACGATGACCACGACAAATTACTCCAGTTGTTTGATATGTGGCTTAGGATCGAACCTTTAAATGAAAGTATAAACAATATCAAGCTTCAGCATCTTCCATGAAAAAGTAATAATAGCAACAATGATTGATAACAATTAACTTGTCAACAAAGACATGGTAGTGATGAGTGGATAAAAATGAAAATCGTCTCTTAATCCCACCTCATAATATAGATGACAAACAAACTGGTTGTATTATATGTGTGCTTTTTCTTAACATAATTGGGGCATATTGATTATGGTCAAAATCTAAATCATACAAAAAGATTTTGGTGACTTTACCATCCATGGGTAAATCTAAGCAAAGCAAGAGGCCTTGTTGGTCTACGAAAGGCTCTCGAAAACGTCTGGTCCATAGTCCACACTGATTGAATATTCACCCCTATTATAAAATATTAAGCAAGAAAGAATATTCACCCTACAATTCTACTCCAACGCTTTAGCTTATAGCCTTTAACAAAGCAAGAAGAGGGACCCACCCATTAAACTGTTGTTTGATGACCTAACCCATGACGTGTCAAGTTAGAGCAATACACACACTATAGTGATCTTATTTTACGTACTTAAACAAATACTTTTAACTGCTTGAATTACAAACTCTGCCGTAATATTTGATTTGCGATTAAGAGAGAAAAAATACAATATGAATTTTAGTACAGCTGCTGAATTGTTGGCAGTCTTCTAATTTCAGCTGACGTTGTCTCCAATAAACAATACAATAAATGTGACATATATATATATATATATTTTTATATAATGAGGGGTAATGTGGCGCATCGCACCGCTCTACAGCTCATGTATAAGACTAGCATCTTAATTTATTATTGGGTTTATTATTACAAGATGGCAACAAGTTTTCTATTATGAAAATGAAGGTAATAGCACGATTGGAACTCTTATTGTGGGCTCCTGCTACGACATTGCTTGTAGTACAAATATATTAAAAATATCACATTCCTTCGACCATCTTGACTCATTTATTAGTGGCAGACTCACTAAATGCGAGATCGTACGGTAGAAAAGCACTGAATTATTAATTTATGTGAATAGTATAACCAAAATTATATTGGAAAAATTAGGTATGGGTCCACCCTCATTCTCCAATTGTTTTTCTTTCTTTTTTAAAAATTTAAAATTAAAAAGAATAATGAGCAGTTGTGTTTTATAAAAATAGAAGTTATTATCTTAACCTCATTTAATTAATAATTTTATTTCTTACTGTTTGAATTAACAAAGAGTTTTTTTTGGTATTTTGAATGTTTCATCATTTTCTGCATTTTGTTTTAGATATATATAGATAAAACAAAAGAGATAAAATAGTAAAATATTCAAAACACTAAATGTTCTTAGTTAATATAAATATTAAGAATTGAAATTATTAATTAATTAAGAATAATATAATAAATTCACATTTTTTTTCTTCATATTATATATTTAGATTATACGAGTTAAGCTAAAGTTGGAGGGTAGATGATCTCCCAAACGGCATAGGACGACCACGTATGCAACATTCAGAATGAAACCACCTAATCATGCTTTGTTTTTTGCCCTTTTAGATTTAAACTAATTGCTGAAGGATAAGATAGCTGCTACACTAATAATTTAGGTATTGACGCAGAAAAAGTCATTGATATGTTGCTAACTGACATGAAATGAAAGTTATTCGTCCCAATTCGCATGCTCTTATTGAAAAAGATAACAAATTCAATTCCCTTTGGCGTCTAGGGGCAAACTTATCTCGAATATTATTGCTTACCTAAATATTGCATATCGTTCTTGAGCCAAACTTTTAAATAAGCTCGTAATTTCTAAAAGCAATTCCACTCATGACTTGTAAAATTATTATTCATCTGTTAACTTTTTTGCCAAGGTTGTGA